CTGGGAAGTCCTGCTGAAAGCGCTCGTGCAGCTGGAGACGAGTAGCACGGATCCAGCGGATCAAGACACCACTGACATCCGCCTTGCGCCGCAAGGGGAAGACTGTGGTGTAGCGTGTGTAGTCGTCAACCACCAGCAGGAAGTAGCGCTCCTGGTCCGTTCCACCGACGGGGGCCGGGCCCCACACGTCCATGTGGAGAGTCTGCAGAGGAGCAGTGGTCGGAGGAAACTCGGAGGAGTGAGGAGCGGCGCGCTGCCGCCCCTCGACGCAAGGAAGACACGGCGGCGCAAGTGAGCGCGGGAGGGGGGGCAGGGTCTCAGGGAGGCCAGAGACCAGGAGCCGGGAGTACATGCCGCACAGACGCTGCAGGGAGGGGTGACCAAGACGGTGGTGCCAGCGCTGAGTCTCGTGCGTGAGTACTCTGCACGAGCAAGACGCAGCTAACTGCCCTGACGCAGACGCTCGACTCGACGCAGCTACCTGACCTGACTCAGCCACCTGTGCAGACGCAGTGGTCAGTGTGTACAGACTAGACCCAGGCTGACGAGTGAACGTAGCCAGGTGACGGCCAGTCCGGGAGCACGTACAGATCGCCACACGCTGCCCTCCAGGAATAAAGGTATCAACCCAGACATCCTGAATGGCAGCGTTGCTCACCAAGTTCGTCGAGAACGTGGGGAGGTGGAGACCTGACAAAGAGCCGGAGGGGACTGCTGGACAAGGGAGGACCGTGGAGGCTCTCGCAACCACTGGGCCCCCAGAGGGGTCAGCCAGTGAGACTGGGACAGGTGCTGTGAGTGGTGTGACTGTGGTGCAATCACGGAAGAAGCAACGTGACGCGCCGGAGTCAAGCGTGAAAGTGTGCAAGACCTCAGCTGAGGCAGGACCTGTGGTAGTAGACGCACTAGCAACTAGAGCGTCGGTAGACTCACGGGCACCTAGAGCTGCAGCAGACTCACTAACACCTGGAGTGGCAGCAGACTGACTAACACCTGGAGTGGCAGCAGACTCACTAACACCAAGAGCAGCGGTCTTAACAGAACGATAACCTCCACCACCAGGACGACCTCGCTGAATAACCCACTCACGAAGCTGCCGAGGGGTGGGGTCGTCCGGGAGAAGCATTGCCTGCTGCTGTCCACCCCTGGCCGCAGCGACTGCCGCGGAAGTGGCCATGACAGACAGTGACTGTCAGGAGTAGGTCCAGCACCTCCAGCTCCTACAGCGCCAGCAACACCTCCTACACTCCCAGCAGCACCTCCTCCACTCCCAGTAGCACAAGTAGCAGCAGCAGCAGTAGTAACAGCAGCAGGGCGGTTCGGTGGGGGTGGGAGGCCGCACCTCCACCACTCCCAGCAGTACTCCCTCCAGTAGCAGCAGTAGCAGGGCGGCTCGGGCAGCAGCAGCAGACCGAGCAGCAGCAGCAGCAGCAGTAGACCGAGTAGCACTAGCTGTAGCAGTAGTAGTTGCAGTAGCAGCAGCAGTGACAGCTCGGGCTGGGCGGCGCGGCTCGGACACAGTGGCAGAGCAGCAGTAGCACTAGCTGTAGCAAGTGCAGTAGTAGGAGCTGCAGCAGTAGCACTAGCTGTAGCAAGTGAAGTAGTAGGAGCTGCAGCAGTAGTACTAGCTGTAGCAGCAGTAGCTTCAGTCAAGCAGCAGTAGCTTCAGTCAGGAGCAGCTGTAGCAAGTGCTGGAGTAGGAGATGCAGCAGTAGCACTAGCTGTAGCAAGTGAAGTAGTAGGAGCGGGCCTGGCGCGGGCTTTACGAGCTGGGTGCGGGCCTGACGTGGGCTGTACAGGCTGCGCGACGGCCTGGCGCAGGCTGTGCGGGCTTCGCGACGGGCCTACGCGGGCTGTACGGGCTTCGCGACGGGCCTACGCGGGCTGTACGGGCTTCGCGACGGGCCTACGCGGGCTGTACTGGCAGCTAAGGCGCGGTCAGGGGGGGTCGCACGTGACTAGGAAGGAAAATCGCGTCTAGGGCAGAAAAAGGAACCGTCTCGCCTAGAGCACGGTTTCGAATTTCGCGTTTCTCCTAGGGGCGCGACTCGGGCAGTGGATCGAAATAGTAGTGGTGGGCCCTTTTAAACATTCGGTCCTAAGGAGCATTGTGCTCTTAATACCATGTTATAATCACTAGTAGCTAGGTGAGGAATGATGATTAGGTGAGGGAGAGGGGGTACAAGAGTGTCGAGAGAGTTGGGTTGTACCCTCTAAGGTGTGACCCTACACAACCTAGAGTAAGAACATAACAATATGTTTTGACAATATGCTCATTTCTCTTTATGTACAATTTCCGCTTGGACCTGGCTACACTTGTTGAGCATCCAGACACCAAGACAGGACGTGCAATCAGCAAGTCTTTCATCCTTCCAGCACATTCGCAAGCACATCTTGCGAAATGTGGCGAAACGGATTACCAGCCCAACGAGGTCGCAGAGTTCGTGTCAGAAAAGTTATTTCCGCCCTTCCCTGCTTAGCCCTATTGTTGCGTCTCTGCGGTTACTGCACCGTCACTTCCGCGACAGGAAGCTCATAGCGCGCGTCACTCAGTACAATCACATTCCCGCCCTCCTTCATCGTCACCACCACCTCCTTCACCACAAGCAGAAAAAACACAATTACCTTCACACCGCCATTCCAGCCGCCAGTCTCCCTCCACACAGAGTATTGCCTAGCAGTGGACACTTGCCGAGCGAACCAGTCTCCCAGTGGAGTGCTTTTACGGTGAGCAGGACACATTCCGTTTTGCAGAATAGGGTCGAAGCTGCTAGAACGAGTGCCGTGAAACGCGAGGTCCAGAGTTCCTGCTTCTTCGGTGTCCATGCATGTCAGTCCTCTGACTGAGAAAGGGTTTTGCACGCCAGACAAGCGGGTTTTCATGGAGTAAAGAGAGGAAACGATATTCGAAGGGATATGGGTCCGTCAAAATATAGAGCACGAAAAAAATCAGCAGAGAGCAGCATGATACCGAGGGCAGCATCAGCTGGCTCGTGGAGAAAGAGAGAAACATCATATCATCTCTTTCGCGAAATTCGCTAGTAACGTCGAAGTAGAAAGGGGGAGTGCAACAGTGAGCATACCTAGAGCATCATCGGGTGGCAGGTTCTGTGCAGTCTCGAGGAATCGCGTCACCAACGGCGATTCCGACGTCAGGTAGGGGTTTCGGCGAACATGCGTCACGACGGAATTGCACTTCGCCGCTCGCTGAGTTACCACATGCTTCACATACGCCTCTGAAGTGAACGCATCGATGATAATTTTCCACACCTGCCATAAAACAGTCACAACTCAATCCAGGCCGATAATTTGGCAGATTCCAAATGTGAGGTGTCCGAATCAACAAAATCAGACGAATGTCTTAGGAACTTACGGGTATGATGCGTGAAGGTACTGTAGTAGAGAAGCCTTTTACTTGTCTAAGCCGAGCTTACCACGGAAGGAGTCATCACAGCCGCGCTAAGCTCCATGAGTGTCAGCTTCGGGATGACTAGAATCGGCCGCTTCTGTTTGGTTTTGGAGTTCCTCTGGTGCAGACGCTGCAGGTTCAACTTGTACTTCGCGCCGTTGGGGTGAACCTTTGACGTGAATTCAAAGTCGATGGCGGTAAGACCCTGCGACGCCGCCTTGATAATCGCGCGGGTCGTGGCGCGGTCGTATTGCTTCCAATCCTTTTCGTCGCGCCAGTAGATGCCAGGAACTTGAGGCTCCGTGATGGGGGGAAAATTGCGGCACATGGTGTCCGGTCCAAGTTACTACCGTTGAAAGGCAAGAGCGCTGCTGACGCTGCTGCTCACGTTGCTACTAGCTTGTTTCGACGATTGCCGAGATGGGAGAAGTCTGCAAGTTGTAAGATCGAGGCAAGTTGACGACTGCGATTACTAACGATTAGTAATCTACTAGAGTCGCGGAATCTATACCCGTTAGGAACGTAATCTGCGGCTGGACGACAGATTTGAGACCGGTAACTACCCGAGACTGGACTACTAAGTCCTCCTTGTCTGCATCTTTAGCCCGGTCACAATAAGTGATTAAGTACATCAAAGCCACTAATCTTAAGACTAACATAAATGGGGCAACGGATAAGATCAGTTGTCATCACTGACGCGCCCCAAAAAAAAGTACAAATTCTCGGGAAACTCGATAATATATTTCCACTTTTCCATCTCGATACACTGTCCACGCCTCGCAACCCCCGAAGGCTGTCCCTCGCGATCCGCTGTTATCCACGCCTTTCTCGCTCCATCCTAAGGCCGTGTTCACGCCTTTTATTACTTAGTCCTAGTAAGGCCGTGTTGACGCTCAATAAAAAACTGTCCTACATCATCCATTGCGAATCGCGAAACATGGTCGTCAAAGCAGCATGCGTCGCGTTCATCACCTTATCGCGAATCGTGAAACATGACCGTGCCTCGTGTCGCGTGCATCCCCCCCGTCTTAAAGTTCCCCCCGTCTCAAAGCCATGCATCGTGCCTTACCACACGCCCTCAACCTTCCACTTTCACGCCCTATTTCTGCAAGGGTTACCCGACACGCAACAAACCACTCTATCATGCTATCTTCCACGCGTCTTCCTATGCTGCAAGCGCAGTGCGACTTGGCAATCCGTTGAAATCTCAACATGCGCTGCGGCTATTCAAGAGTTCACAGTCTCGAGATGCGCTGCGGCTAAGCAGGCATGCGTCTCGAGGTTCTAGTACTGTCTCGAAATAATGCACAGCTTACCCAACTGCTGCTGTCTCAGGATTCGCCGCAACAGGCCCAACCGCTGCGCCGGGCGTGCCTCCTGCAGGTTGAACGCCAATCCAGACGGATATTACAGCGGTTGGGTGGGGATATGTTGCTTATAAGACGGATATTACAGCGGTTTTGAAACGTCTCAAAACGCGCCGAGCGTGCCTTTCGGCGAATTGAACTCCAATCCAGACGGATATTACAGCGGTTGCCTTGCTTCTACGACGGATTTCCTGCGCGACAAGAGACCCTGAGTGCCTTACAGCATGGATTCTGATAAGCTTGATTCATTTCACTCAGCTGAATCCGTTTCTCACGGCAAGGCTCCTCCTCCTGCTGGGAACACCCCAGGCGAGTTCCTGTCTCACCCGCTTCTCCCGGCTCCTCCCGTTGGGGGTTTTCCAACAGAGTGTCTGTCTCACCGCACTGCTCCTTCTCTCGTTCCTCACAGCATCGCGCCTCCTCCTCCTCCCCTTGGGGAATCTCCAGACGAGTGTCTGTCTCACGACAAGACTCCTCCCGTTGGGGATTTTCCAGGCGAGTTTCTCTCTTACCACACGGTTCCTTACCCCCTTGCTCACGGCAAGACTCCTCCCGTTGCTGGAGCAGCAGCAGAAGCCGCTGCTTTTGAGGAGACACAAGTAGTTACTGCAGGGAAGGCAGAGAGGCCTGCACCACCAGCTGCTGCAACTGCTGCTGCGTCTCCAGGCGAAGGGGACGAAGGAGAGTGTTTCTGTGAGGTTGAAGAATGCTTCGAGGTTGAGGAATACGATCAGACTGTTGAGTCGACTCAAAAGTCGACTCCAAAGTCAGAACGTTTCGAGGTTGAGGAATACGAAGAAATACTGAAGACTGAAGGGCGCCCACACACCGACGAACGATCACAGTTACGGTTACAGTTGAAGATTAAAGGATATCCCTCCCTGGAAACATCTGCTTCAGGGGAGGATTTGGGCGGAGGGGGAGGACCAGAGGAGATGAAACGAAAGAGAGATGGGAAGGATGCCAGGGGGGTTGTTGGTGCGGGTGGGGAAGGAGAGAGAGGAGTGGGGGGAGTGATGGAAAAGCGAGGTGATGAGGAGTGGGGAAGGAAGAGGGGGGGACGGCGTTTGGGCGTGGGGGCACCAGCAGCAGCAGCAGCAGCAGCAGCTGCAACAGCATGGCGAGTACCGAATCAGGTAACTTGTAACGGGGTGACTAGGAGCAAAGCAGGGTGCATGGTGCAATAGGACACTACTCGCACCTCCATGCTGCTTTTCATCCTCACTCTCCTTGCCTTCTCTATCCAAGTACTAGTGCTCTCTCCCAAACGGTCCTTTGTGTTATATCGGCCATATCACACTCTCCTTCCGCACTCCACTCTACCCCTTTGCACGGGCGAGACGCCCCAGGACGCCTGGCAACTCAAATCATCTCCACTCCTGTCCACCCACCCCACTCCTCTCCACCTCAGGAGGGCCGAGGGCCCGCTTGCTCCTTCCAAGGGGCGTCTCAAGCAGTGCATCACAGCCGCCCTGCTTTCACTCCCCTCACCTCATGAGGCAGGCGCCTCAGGACGCCTGGCAACTCAAATCATCTCCACTCCTGTGCACTCCACCCCACTCCTCTCCACCCCAGCAGGGCCGAGGGCCCGCTTGCTCCTTCCAAGCTGCGTCTGAAGCAGTGCATCACAGCCGCCCTGCTCACCCACTCGTTGGGGCACCTGCGGCACATGAAGGGTCCTCGGCACTCGTTGCAGTTACTCCTCATGCTGCACTCGTTGGGGCACCTGCGGCACCTGCGTCTCAAGACGGGGATCGCCAGCTGTCTTCCCCAGATGGCGGGGCACCCGCAGATGGGGGCTTTAAGCACTCCCCGCAGATTCTTGCTCACACTTCCGGAGAGACTTGGGCCAGAGGAGGGGCAACGGGCGGAGGAGGAGGAACAGGGACAGGTGGATTTCTGGCCTCACCTCAAGGGGATAACGGGGATCGCCAGATGTCGTCCCCACATGGGTTTCAGCAGCACTCCTCCCCGCAGATGTCTCCTCGCGGTCCTGAAGAGCCTTGGGGCAGAGAAAGGGCAAGGGATGGAGGAGGAGGAGAGAGGGGTGGACTGTTGACATCACCTCAAGAGGACCACGAGAGACACCATGGATTCTTTGAACAGGGGTTTCGGGACTCGCAGCCAATGTTTCCCTACAGTTTTGCGGAGTGTTGGGATGCAGAGGGAGCAAGGAGCGGAGGAGGAGGAGGGAGGGGGGGAAGTGGATGGGAAATTCAAGAGGAGCATGGGGGGAGTGGGGGCATGTTGGAAATGTTTTTCTGGGGTGTGGGAAGAGCCTTGGGAAGGATCTTTGGGTTCCCTGGTGAAACTCATAGGGAGAGGGAGCAGCAGAATTCCACAAGGTTTGGAGGGAGAGGGAGCCGCAGGGGTGTTGCAGCAGCAGCAGCTGCTCCAGCCCGTCCCGTTGGTACAGCCCCAGCCCCTCGGTTCGACCGGTCCCTTCCCCCATACACCATGCACCGGTCTCAGGCGAACGTTTTCCTTGACTCTGCTGCATTTGCAGTCCCGCCTCCTCCCCCCCATGCGTCTGGTTACCGCCAGAGTGCTGGTTATACACCAGGGGGATATCACCAAGTGGTGTGTGGACGGGTCAAGTGATGCAATTGTGAGTGACTGTAAGGGGTGTGAATGTAAGGGGTGTGACAACCAAATAAGATGAAGCAACGTGTGGTGCATTGGGGGATCTTACCTACCGTTCGAGTCACATTGCTGGAAAACAAACACACACACACACACACACACACACACACACACACACACACACACACACACACACACACACACACACACACACACACACACAAAGTGACCTGGTAGGGTCCTCCCTTCCTCCCTGTGTGCCCCTCCCCTTCCTCATTGCCTCACCCTCCCTTCCTCTCTGCCTCGCCCGCCCTTCCTCCCTGCCTCGCCCTTAAAAAGTCTTATACCCGCCTTTCCTCCCTGTGTGCCCCTCCCAGGTGAATGCGGCAAACGAGTCGGTGCTTGGTGGGGGCGGGGTGGATGGAGGTAAGTGGTGTGGGGGAGAGGGTAGACGGCTGGAAGAGTGTCTGCCGAGCCATGTCATCTTGCACTGCCGTGTCATCTTGCACTGCCGTGTCATCTTGCACTGCCGTGTCATCTTGCTGACTGGCTTTCCGCTCAATGATCTCTCGTTCCCATTTCCCCTTCTCGTCTTGTCATGACCTGCCCTTGCCTCCCTCTCGTTCCCATTTCCCCTACTCGCCTCCTCCCTCCCTCTCATCTACCACTCTCTCGTTTCGCCTCACCAGCCATTCACAGGGCAGCAGGCCCAACCCTCCTGAAGCTCTGCCGTGACCTGCTCTGCTCTCTTCCTCTCTTCTTCCTCTGTTTCTCGCTCTCTCCTCTTCTCACGTTGATTCGCCCCTCTTTCTGCCACCCTCCAGCCATCCACAGGGCAGCAGGCCCAACCCTAAACCCTATTCCCCCTTTCTCTGCTCCCTCTCTCCGCACTTTCCCGTTAATCCCCCTCCCGTTGATTCGCCCCTCTCTCTCCCCCCCCAGCCATCCACAGGGCGGCAGGTCCAACCCTCCTGAAGCTCTGCAGGGATCTACCCAGGCTGAGGAATGGCGATCGCTGCGAAACAGGGGACGCTGTGACCACAGGGTGAGTGACTAAAACAAATGAAATGGGGGGGTGGCAGGTGTTAGGAGTGACGGTAGGAGTAGGATCAGGTTTTCTTGCATTTCTGCTAGGAGCAGCATATGCTGAGGAATACAGGGGGTGGGGTACGGTGGGGTGGAATGGGGCACAGGTACCGCTTTCCTCAAGCTTTCCTCAGGTGTGTGTGTGTTATATTTTTCAAATTCTTTGATTCTCTTTATCAAAATGATGTGTTCACGCACCCTGCAGGGCGGCCAGGCTGCCAGTGCGCTATGTGATCCATGCGGTGGGATGGATGGGGGCCCATACACTAATTGCATCAAGAGTGTTTCTCTTTGAAGTGTCAAACTCTCTTTGTTTTCTGCATTCACGCACCCTGCAGGGCGGCCTGGCTGCCAGTGCTCCATGTGATCCATGCGGTGGGATGGGGTGGTGTGCTTTTCCTCAAAGTCTCAAACTCTCTATCACTCTCCCACACACCTTGCAGGGCGGCCAGGCTGCCAGTGCGCCATGTGATCCATGCGGTGGGGCCAGTGTACTGGAATGACAGAAAGTCAGCACCCGTGCTGAAAGAAACGTACAGGTGTGTGCGGTGCAGTGCGGTGCTGTACTGTATTGTGCCCTGCTGTTCTGTGCCGTGCTGTGCTGTGCGGTCCTGTGCTGTGCGGTGTGCTGAGCCGTGCTGTGCCGTGCCGTGCCGTTAAGTGTTCTATAAAATGCATCACCATTCCTTCATTATTATCCGTTCGCCCACCTGCCCGGGTCACCCCTCTTCCCCACTTCCATTTCTGCTTCCGACCCTCCTACCTTCCACAGGAGCATTCTAAGAGAGGCCAGCAATTGTAGAGTCAAGTACATTGCCATTCCCGCAATATCATGTGGCATTTTCGGGTACACTCCATCGCCTCAACACGCCGCCCGAGCTTAACTCTATTTTGACAATTCCCAAAAGAGATTATAACACGCCCAAGTTTTGAATTCGTGATCTTGTTTCAATCATTTCAGGTACACCCCATCATCTATGCCGAAAATTCGTTTCCACATATTTATTATTATGGTGGTTTGCTTTCCTGCCTTAGGCCTTTTTCTGGGTGAACATTTGCCTTGTTGGGCAAAATTTCACCCCGCGTTTTTTAGCTATCTTTGCTCTATTTTTCCCTTTGCGTTTCGCTGGTTTTTCCTCCTCGCTTCTCTATACAGTTATCCCCCTGTGAAAGGCGCCCAAGCTTCTCTGGATGTTTTGTTAAGCCAATCTTGGGGATCCGTGCAAGAGGTATGCTGCACTGCACTCACATGAGGTACGTAGGTGCTTACTCACATGTAGAGTTTGCTAACCCAACAGTGGGGGTCGGTGCAAGAGTTACATGAGGTATTCACTCACATGAGGTATGCACTCACATGAGGTTTTCTCAAGAGGTTTGGCTAGTGGTGGAAGCTCATTTCTCATGCGCCCAGTTATCCTCTGCAATCTTGTCCCTCACCCTCACATGCCACAGGTGCATTTCGTCCTATTCGACCAGTGGATGTTGAACGTGTGGCTGAATGTCATTCATGCCGCCAACCTGCCACAGCTGCTGCTGCAACGGCCACCACCACCACAACAGCCACCGCTGATGCCGCCACAGCAACAGCCGCCACACCACCTGCCGCCTCAGCAGGTGCAACCTCAACAGCAAGTGTATGAGTCAGCACAACAGCGGCCACAGCAGGCAGGGAACGAGGTGACTGGGGAGGGGGAGAATGTGAAACAGCAGCAGGTGGTACAGGTAGGGTGAGACACAGCAAGGGCACAACAGGGGGAGGAGAATCAGCGAAATCTTCAACTGCTGCAACAGGAGAGAGCAGTGCAGCTGCGCCAGCAGGGAGCAGAGCAGCTGCGGCAGCAGAGACAGCAGCATGCACAGCCGGTCGCAGGGGAAACACCATCAGCAAAGACGGCACTGCAGACGCAGCAGCAACTACAGGAGCGGCAGTCACAGCAGCCACTGCAGTAGTTGCCCCGGCAGGGCCATGAGTATGCACAGGTGGTCGCAGCAGAGGGGCGGACATCAGTGAAAGCAGCATTGCAGTCACAGCAGCAGCCTCGAAAGCAGATGCAGCAGCAGCAACAGGAGGAACTTCCTCAGACGCCTCTGCAGCAGCTGCCCCGGCAGGGCCATGAGTATACGGAGGAAGCTGCAAAGGAGGTACGGCAGCTTCTGCAGCAGCAACAGGAGCAGCCTCAGGAGCAGCCTCCAAAGCCACATCAGCAGCAACAGGAGGAGCAGCTTCAGAAGGGGCAAAAGCAGCAGTACCAGCAGAAGGCAGAGCATCTGCTGGAAAGGAAACAGATGCGAGGAGAAATAACACAGATCCAGCCTGCCCCTGCCAGGCCTGGCCCAGGCATGATGTTGAATGATGGGGATGGCCGGAGATTGCAGGAGAGGGGAGCGAAAGAGAGGAAGGGTGGGAGGTTGAAAGGCATAAAATGGAATAATATTTTTTAGTTCAGTAGAGAAGGAAATAAAGCCTCTGACCCTGTTGCTGGTCGTGCTGCTGCTTCTGCCTTTGTTATGCTGCCACTCATACTTTTAGTAGAGTGAGGACGAAATGGGATGTACATCAGCAGAGGAGCTATCTGAGAGGTACAATGGGAGGCTTATGGCTTGAAATGGGAGGAATCAATACGAAATAGTGGATTTTATGGCTGTGTTATCTGTGTGTGCAGTTTCACCATTGTAATTACTGCTATGTAGAGAGCTGCTGCACAAGAAGAAATACTGAGACACATGTTGTATCAACACAGACTGGTAGTTTTGTCAGATTTTCCTTTGTTGCGAAATGATTATTTTCTTTGCGGAATTTGAACATTCTGGGGCATCAGATAACACTGGACCTATAGCTGGGATTGATTCTTAAGGGTGAAATTGTCATTCTGATGCCGAAATTCCCCACACAAAGCTCACTTTGTACATGTATGGAAGAGGGTACAGCAGTACAATCTAGTTACAAATATATGTGCTTTATTCAATGGCTATGTACAGTACATAATATCGAATCCAGCTTACTGCACTGTCACTTCGGCGACAGGGAGCTGGTAGCTCGCGTCATTCATTACAATCACATCACCACTCTCCCTCACCACCACCTTCCTCTCCACAAGCAGCAGAAACGCGATTACTTTCACCCCACCACGCCTCCAAGCATAATTATCCCTTTCCTGAGAGTAATTCGCGGCAGTGGGAAGTTGCCGCGTGAACCAGTCTCCCAGCGGAGTGCTTCGGCGTTGGTTGGGGCACATTCCGTTCCGTAGAATAGGGTCGAAGCTGCTAGACCGAGTGCCATGAAACGCGAGGTCCAGACTTCCTTCCTCCGCGCTGTCCATATACGTCACACCTTTGACTGAAGGGTCCAGGGAGTGAAGAGTAAGGTGTATTAGAAAATCCTCTTCAGCGAAGTAAATCAACGTCTTTTTACAAAATTCGCGTGGAATCAAACGGCAGGGGTCACGACTTGCATCTCGCCGATATTGGAAATGTGATTGGACCCTGGGAACAATGGGCTTACTGAGTGAAGCATCAGCGGGTAGGTTCTGGGCAGTCGCGAGGAACCGCGTGAGCAGCGTGGACCCGGGCGTAAGGTAGGGGTTCTTACGGACTTCCACCACCGAGCTGCACCGCTGACCAATCACATGCCGAACGTACGCCTCTGTGGTGAACGCGTCGATGATGCAACCCCAGACCTGCCATGATCATGCACCAGGTTAATTTGAATGACGTATTCGAAATGCCAGAAAGGAATCAGTGCTTGATAGCACTGGACAAAACGTTTTTCCGGTCCATTTGCATTAACAGAAGCCAACAAACCGCTTACCACAGCCGGGGTCCTCAATGCGTCGCTCAGGTTCTTGAGCGACAGCTTCGGAATAACCAGAACCGGCCTTCCCTGATCGGCTGTAGGGTTCCGTTGCTCCATAGTCTGCAGATTCAGCGTGTAAGACTGACCGTTAGGGTAAACTTCGGACGTGAAAACACCGAGGTTCACTTCCTGAAGGCCCAGCGAGGCCGCCTTGAGAATTGCGCGGGACGTGGCGCGATCGTAGGGCCGCCATTGGTCGTCGTCGCGCCAGTAGATGCCGGGAACGTCGGGCTCCGAGCAGGGGAGGAAGTTGATGCACATGATGCTGGCTCCAAGTTACCGTTGAGATAAGTTCGAATGGTTTTCACTATGCTTCCGCTGCTCACGGTGCTCGCGCTGCTAACTCCGGCAAATGCGTAAGAAGGGAGGGCGAGAGCCTGAGGATCAAGGCGCATTGTGTCTACGTTAGGCGGCATCGCGGAATTTATGGCGGCGATGTGGCCGCTGCGCCCGGAGGAGAGTTTTTTAATATGTATTTACCCCCAACTCAGACTCCGTTCGCTTAATTTTCGAGTATTAAGTAATAGTTTCCAAACTACCCAACCTCATTATTCACCCAATTATTTCAGTGACTTAAAGAGTGAAAATCTAACTGTCAATCTGTCAACGCTGGCAACCCAGAACGAGTTGGGTAGACTCGAATTCGACCCCCTCCCCTTCCGCGTCGATACTCCGAATTCGCTTACCTCGGGAACTCCACTTTTGCATCCAGCCATCCATGGGGAATTCCATTCTGCCTTGAAGACATCTGTTCAGCTCACCTCGGGAGCTTTCTTTTGTCCGTCAAGCTCATCGCTTCTACATCGGAAATCCCAACTCTTTCTAGCCTTTGTCGTTGGCGTGCTTCAAACCGTCGCGGGAGGCGAGGCGATCTAGATGCGAAGCTGCTGCTCCATTCGCCGATGTTACTGGTACGTCCGAGGCTTGCTCACAGCTGGATCTCGTTTTGGCGCCGCCAGCCATTCGTCCTAAGGTGCAGGCATTGAAACACAGGTGGTGCGAGAACACGAACGGCGTGAGGAAGGCGTGGAGACTAGCTTGAGCTGAATCTGTTATCTTTTCGTCCATTGAAACTTTCTTCACATCGTATTGACATCTTCGTTTATCCAACAAGGCGCGGTTACCAGAGTGCAAGTATAGAGACTGACACGGTTTTATGGAGTTGGATTTGTTCACTTCCACTAGGCCACCAGGCAAAAGGCAAACCAAGCTAACGCATTATCATATCATAATGGTAGGCCAATCTATTCAGGAAAAACAACCGTATGTTCCCACCATAGATGGGCATTGAGCAAATCCAGAAGAAGAATAAAAAAAAACAGCACACAAAAAATCAAGACAACCACCGAGGCGATTCAATTCCTCAGCGCAAAATATTTACAGGTGCGCACAGCATTGTGCTGCCGAAACAGGGTACCGGTACCATTCAGTGGTGCCTGCAGCACCCAGCTCAGCCAGCAGCAAGAGCAGCAGGAGAGGGGAAAAACGAAGAGCCTGGGAGACTGCCGAGAAAATCCTTCGAACACTCTTGAAGCAGTGATAAGTAGATGAGCCTCTGCAAGAGGTTGCAGGAGGCGAGGCGACCCAGCTCAACGGGAGCAGCAATCGAGGAGTTGGGAGCGGTATCAGGGTGCTTCCGTGGCAATCTCTGAAGGATTCAACACTTGGTGCGGGCCGGCTGGAGGCCCCAGGGAGCATCTGTCCGTGCTGTGGGTCTCCAGCGCCTCCTTGATTTTCGCAATCTGAAGTGAATGGTGGATAGTGGATAGAGCCGGGAAGGAGGAAAGGGTGGGGTGGGAAGATTTTTAGCGTGTTAAGTTTTTCCAGCGCATTCCTGGTTTTAGCAATCTGAGATAAATGGTGTGTAGTGGACAGAGCAAGGGAGGAAGAAAGCTTGGGGTGGGAGAGGGGATGGGAGGGGAAGGATGTCGTCAGGCAACAACGCAATGTGTGTGACTCCAGTGCCTCCTTGATTTAAGCAATCTCAAGTCAGCGTGAGGTGACTTGTGTATTCACCTCGCTTTTGAGTGAACTTACAGGGAGCACACAGCACGACGTACCGAAGTGAGGGTTGCAGTGAATGCGTCGAGCCGCCCATCGGCGCCGCGGTAGAAGTGGAAGAACGGCAGGCGCTTGATTCCGAGCGACCGGCAGAGCTGCTTGTTGGGGTCGAACTCGACCTGCAGGAAGATGACGTCCGGGTGCTTCGAAGCCAGCATGCACAGCTGAGGGGGGAGACGGAAGAGTGGTTAGGGAAGGAAGTGTCGGGAAACTTGTGAGGAAAAAGGGCGGGAAAAGGAATGGAGGGATCGGCAGAGCTGCTTGTTGGGGTCGAGCTCGACCTGCAGGAAGATGACGTCTGGGTGCTTTGATGCGAGCATGCACAGCTGAGGAGTGAGAAACGGGGGGAAAAGTCGGGGGAGAAGTGGGGATAGAAATGGGGGGTTAAGGGCGGGGGAGAGCTGTTTGTTGGGGTCGAACTCGACCTGCAGGAAGATGACGTCAGGATGCTTCGACGCCAGCATGCACAGCTGAGGGGACGGGGATAGGCGTTGAGAAATGGGAAAAGAAATGGGGGAAGAAGTGAGAGGAGAAGTTGGGGGGTGGGGGCGGAGAAGAGGGGGACGGAGCAGCGCTGCTTGTTGGGGTCGAACTCGACTTGGAGGAAGATGACGTCCGGGTGCTTCGATGCGAGCATGCACAGCTGAGGGGGGGAAGTGGGGGGGGAAGTGGGGGAGCGGGGGTTGGGTGAGGGGAAGAGGGGGGACGGAACAGAGCTGCTTGTTGGGGTCGAACTGGACTTGGAGGAAGATGACGTCAGGGTGCTTCGATGCGAGCATGCACAGCTGAAAAGGGAGGAGGGAAATGGGGGAGCAAATGTAGGGAGAAGTGGGCGGGTGGGTTGCGGAGAAGAGGAGGGCAAAGGAGAGCTGCTTGTTGGGGTCGAACTGGACTTGGAGGAAGATGACGTCAGGGTGCTTCGACGCCAGCATGCGGAGCTGATAGGGGGGAGGAGGAGCGAGAAATGGGGGGGAAGTGGAGGAAGAAGTGTGGGGAGAAGAGGAGGGAGACGTGGGGTGGCGGGTGCGGGGAAGAAGAGGACGGAGCAGAGCTGCTTGTTCGACGCCAGCATGAACGGCTGAAGGGGGAAGTTGGACGGGGAGGAGGGGGCGGAGAGAGAGGAGGGGAGGTAGGAGAGGAGGGGGGAGGGCGGTGCGGAGGGGAAGGAGGGTGAGGAAGGGAAGGTGGGGGAGAATGAGGGGAAGGAGGCGCGGGCTGTTCCACTGCGCCTTTTTCTACAAGGTAGGGACGCATAAGGTAGTGTATTTTTGAGACGTCTAAAAAGTACACTACTTTCACGTGGAAGGAGGGGCGGGCTGTTCCACTGCGTTTCTTTCCACGGGGTAGGCAGAAGGTATAAGGCACGCAGGGAATATTTCACCTTGGGGTGCATAGCGCGGCACGAGCGGCACCAGGTCCCGAAAAAGTCAACCACCACGAGTTTGTCCCCCGCCGCGCCTAGCGCCTCCACGAATTCCGCTGTGTTCGCCACGTGTCGCATGTTCGCAGGCACGCGCCGCTCCCACCAGTTTTCGTTGGAAGGCAGGGGAATTTGGTTCCCCGCGCCGACTCCTGCGCCTATCCCTACGCCAAGCCCCGGCATGGGTTGCGCAAGGGCGCTGTGGACGATTATCGCCCCCCCGCGATTGCCTTGTAGCAAATCCGCGCTCCGCAGACTGCGCGGCGACGCGCGACGGGGGAGCGGTTGGGCGACGAGGCTAGACGAAAGTCCTCGCCCGCGTGACGAGGCGGAAGCGGCGGCGGAGCGGAAAGGAGCGGCGGAGAACGCGGAAAAGGCGGAAGCTGAGGGCGCGGAAGACGCCTGCAGCGCGAGAGGCGGATGGATAGTCGCCATATTGAGTTGCTTTGAGTTGTTGGATTACGTTGGAGACGTCTCCGAGTAAAAAGTCGGGCAGACAAAAAGCCCAAGGATGAAGACGATGCTGACTGGCGGAGAGCTCACGCAGAAGGTGCTCGTGACGGTACTTTACAGCAAAGTCCCAGCAAGGGTATTACGGATTCAACGCGCGTCGACGAATTTACATGTATTTGCTGGGACTGATGCGCGTTGGATTGCGTGCACAAACCTCTGGGACACCACTCCACAACGCGCAGCGTCCTACTTTTCACGCCCTTGAAACGGACACGCAACCAGGAAACTGCAGCATTGGAGTGGCGTCAACAGCATGAGACAGAGGCTCTTGCAGAGGAGAGCCCTTCAAAAGTGCATTTGAACAAACGCGCTTTTTCTGAGCGGAATTCTCGAGGGTGGCCCCCGAGAGTGTCACTCCCAGGGAAGTGGCAGGGCCACTGGGATCTGTGCGCAGTCTCCCAAGTCCACCAATTTCCCCTCCCACACCGAAACACCGACTCAAAAACAGTCATAACCACCCTTAACTCATCGAACACCACCGCTCTGCCGCCACTGTGGCTGAATTTTAGGGGCGGACACAGGGATGTCGCGGAATCTTGTGGTGGGAAAGGGGGAAAGGGGGAGGGGAAGGGGGAGTGAGAATTCGAGGGTCGGGTCAAACGTGTTGATTTCTTCGGAGTTAGCGCAGCGCGCCAATTCTAGCAGCGCAAACCAGATCTGCGGTTCTGTGGTTGAGGGAGTGCGCAATCACTGGGTCAGGGTGGCCGTCAAGCGTGCTGCGGAGAAGCGGGCGCAAACAGCCTCTTGCCGAATGGCGTCGCGCGGGGGAGGTCAGTGATTGGCTCAGTCAGTTCCATTCTTGCGAGCCACAGGAGCCCTAGATTGGTGCCTGTAATTCGCTGATGTGGCTTGGTGGCCGATTTTCAAAGCAAGTGCATTCATACGGCATATCTTGCCAGCTCCTTGTGCTGTGGCGAAACGTGAGGGGAGTGACGAGGCTGTAAAGGCCGCCTGCCTCGCTGGTGCCGTGTCAGAATACATCTTGATTCGTAAACTGCTAATACTAGGTGGACACCATAACAGTTTCATGTGTGTATAAAACACTCAACTACTTTTCATGACATTATCTGGTTCTGACATACATGCTACGAACATATACACACATGTAAGGAATTTATATAATTAAGAAAAACAAATTTTATAATAATATAACTTTCTCCAGCCCTCGAAAAGAATGGTTAAACTTTTTTGAGAACTTTCAATTGGCTGTGTACGCGCTTTGTATATATGAGCATTGTCGTTGCTGCTTTTCCACCGAAAAGCATCTCACACTATCGAGGCATGTCGATCCTTCCCTGTAATTTCGCGCGTGCCGCGAGAGCACCCTACTGGCCTTCACACGTTCCTGGGTGTTGGCGCCACAACTTTCTCCCAGCATCCCGCGCGAAGTTCTCAGAGAACCTCCTATTCGCACCTCCATTTCGCGTGCCACGGAGTTGTTTTCGTAAGATGCTGGTTACTACCAATAGATGCTTTGCCGAAGCGGGTTTTTAGGCTGGGTTCCCAAGCTAAGATGACCAGACTAGACGTGACCTAGCTGCGAGCGTGGCGTCAGTGCTTTCCGAGCCAAGGGTTCAGGTACGAGCATCCTATTTTGCTGGTCTTGGTTTTTGCGAGCGGGCCAGACCTGGTTTGGCTCGGTCAGAGCCTCCGAGGCCTGGAAGTTGTTCTGCAGAGATACCAAGACAACTTGTCCCAACACCCGGCACCTTTTCCTCCTAAACTTGTGGCTTTGTCACTTATATACCTGTCACAGAAGCCTGACACACCTTTACAGTGGTTAGGCCTATTGTACATCCCTCCTCAGCCTTAATGGAAGACCGTAGTTATTCAGTGAAGTCAAAATAGGTTATTCATACTTGAGCGGGCTAGGAGTTACGGCTGATCAGAAAAGTTTAGGACTTCCTATTGAGTTTCAACCGCACTGCACATACCGCCACTTTGACGTGCTCGTTACTTAGTAAGCTCGCCTATTGACGCTGAGGCACCAGATTAGAGTCGTACAGTCATTTCAACATCCAATTTTACTTCGTAACTTCAGTGGCACGCGAGATAGTCGTAGTTTTCTGTCCGAAACATCAGCTAAGGATCATAGTCCTTTGTTTCTCTACACAGCAGCAGAGAGTCTCAGGATTTTCGCCGACCAATAGGAACACAGTGCTGGCCGTACTGCTCTACTGGACGTACGCCTGGCCGAGCAGCAGGCGTGACGTTTGTTATTTCACGCTGAAAGACACTGCTGAAGGTTGCTCTCTGAGCATATCCCACGAGCCAAGCCGATCATTTGTCACAAAGTCTTGTCTGATGACCAGCACCCGAAGATGCTGCTATCAGAGATGTCGCTTGTCTCAGCATCTAACGAGCTTGCCGGTTTGTCAACCAGAAGCGTTAACAACTGTCCGATAGTCCCATTATGCAAGATTGTTTCATCATGAAAGCCGTCGTGGTGGCCGACACCAACAGACGACGTATCTAGAAGCTTATTCCTTTCCCTCCCAAAAGCGTTAATAGCGTAGCGACCATCTCGTCATCATGAAGGCCATTGTGGTGGCCGGAACGCACAGCGGCGTGGGCAAGACGAGCGTCGCCGTGGGGCTCATGGCCGCCTTCCGCCGGCGAGGTCTCCGCGTGCAGCCGTTCAAAGTCGGACCCGGTGCGAAGCGATACAATACAATACAATACAATACAATACAATACATTACGTTACGATACGATGCACTGTTGATCCAGCAGGCTTTTTTCTTCTTCCCGTTTCCGACTCTGATTGAGGTTTCTGGATGCCTGATGCCGGCTTGGGGCGACTTCGCTCTGGTCTTTGAGCATAGCTGTGGTGCAGAGTTGTCAGCAATGGTATATAGTCCTGATCCTCGTATCGTATCCGTATGTCGCATGTTGTATTTGGCATGTTTGATGTGACATGTCGCATGTTGTATTTGGCATGTTTGATGTGACATGTCGCATGTGGGGTGTTCACGTGGCATGTTGTGTGTGACATGTTGTGTGTGGGATCTTGTAGCATGTTTTGCTGGCATGCTGTGTTTGGCATGTCGTATGTGGGATGTTGTACGTGGCATGTTGTGTGTGACATGTTGTATGTGGGATGTGGTAGCATGTCTTATCTGGCATGGTGTGTATGGCATGCCATTTGTAAATATTCTGTGGTATGTTGTATGTGGAATATCACACGTGGCATGTTGTATGTGGCATGCTCCATGTGACATGCTGCACGGGGCAACTTGGATGTGCCATGTTATGTGGGATGCGTGTGGCAGATTTTCTGGACCCGATGCACCATCAGGCGGCTACAGGGCGAGACTCGTACAACCTGGATGGGTGGATGCTCAACAGGTATGGTTTTATTAAGGAGATGGATGGATGGGTGGGTGGGTGGGTGAGTGAATGGGTGGGGTTGGATAGGTGGATGGATGGGTAGATGGTGGGGAAATAGGCGGAGATACGAGGCTTGTACAACCTGGATGGGTGGATGCTCAACAGGTATGGTTTTATCGCGCGGATGAGTGGTTGTTGGTGATTGAGTGCATGGTTGAAGGGTGGGTGGACGGATGTGTGCGGGACGGATGGATGGGTGGTGGTTGGATGGGTGCATGGGTGAATGGGTGGGTGGACGGACCGGTGGATGGGTGAATGAATGGATGGGTGCAGCAACGTCCCCTTGGTTCTTCTCCGTTTTCCCCCCTTTTTTCCCCGTTGCCCCCCACCCCCCATATCCACTTCTCTCCTTCAGGGAGGCCAACGTGGCGTGTTTCACCCGATTCGCAGCCTCAACTGACGTGGCAGTAGTGGAGGGCGTGATGGGGCTAATTGACAGCAGCAGCATCAGAATCAGGCCCTCCCCTTGTTCTCCCTGTCCCTTCCCTCACGTTCCCCTCTTCCCTCCTTACCCTCTCGCCCTCTCCTATTTCTCGTGTCACGACCCGGCCCCTCACATCTCACCAGGGAGGCCAACGTGGCATGCTTCACCCGATTCGCAGCCTCAACTGACGTGGCAGTAGTGGAGGGCGTGATGGGGTTATTCGACGGTCGAGATGGCAAGACAGAGGTCGGCAGCACAGCAGAGATGGCCAAGATCATAGGAGCCCCGGTTGTCCTCGTTTTAGACTGCTGGTCTATGTCTAGAAGCGCGGCAGCCATGGTGCACGGTTACGCGTCCTTCGACCCGTCGTTGCGATTCGCGGGGATTATTCTGAATAAGGTTGCCAGCGCAGCGCATGCCACGTGGTTGACAGAGGCGCTAGAATCAGCACACGTCAGAGTTCCCGTCCTAGGTGGCATCCCGAAATCTGCTGACGTGGAGATGCCGGAGCGCCACCTGGGACTGCACCGGCCGGGGGTGGACGCGGACGGGGTGCCAGCTCAGCACGCCGAGCGGCTGGCGACACTGATTGAAGCCCACGTGGACCTGGACAGGCTGTTACAGCTGGCAGCTGATGTGGCAGGAGCGCCAACAATGGGGCTTGGGGGAGGGGAGGGGAGTGTGTGTGGAGGGGAGGACGTTGGAGAGGGGAGTGTGGTGGGTGGAGGAGGGAGTGTGATGAGTGGAATGGGAGGAGCGGGAGGGATGGAGTGTGGTGGATCGTCAGCCAATGAGCTGCCACCATTGTCGATGCCGCCCGGAATGAAGCTTGCTCGCATTGGAGTGGCGAGAGACGAAGCCTTCTGTTTCTACTATCACGACAACTTGTCGCTTCTGAGAGGTACGTACGGTACCTGCACACTGCCTCGACTCGGTTTACTTTGGAGCTGGTACCCTGAGCTGTACACTACTGCTCTGGCTTGGGTTTCATATTTCCAACCACCCTTGTGCCATCTCCTGCCCCTCTGTTTACAACACCGTTCCGTCCCACCCCACCAGAGGCGGGGGCAGAGATTGTATTTTTCTCTCCGCTCACCGGCCCTCTTCCGCACCGCCTCGATGCCGTGTACTTTGGCGGGGGTTACCCTGAGCTGCACGCTGCTGTTTACAATACTGCCTTTTGTTCCCCACCCCACCAGAGGCGGGAGCAGAGATTGTGTTCTTCTCTCCGCTCACGGACCCTCTTCCACACCGCCTCGATGCCGTCTACTTTGGAGGAGGGTACCCTGAGCTGCACGCAGCTGTTTACTTTACTATATTGCCTTTGTTTCCCCACCCCACCAGAGGCCGGAGCAGAGATTGTGTTCTTCTCCCCTTTGACCGACCCTCTGCCGCACCGTCTCGACGCCGTGTACTTTGGCGGGGGTTATCCTGAGCTGCTGCTCTGGCGGCCAACACCAAGCTGGTGTATGCGCTCAGGGCGTTTGCTGCTGCTCTGGCCGCTCTGGCCTGGCTTGCATATTCTGATTCACCCTTGTGCCATCTCCTGCCCCCCTGTTTTCAATGCTGTTTTGCCCCACCCCACCAGAGGCCGGAGCAGAGATTGTGTTCTTCTCCCCGATGACCGACCCTCTGCCGCACCGTCTCGACGCCGTGTACTTTGGCGGGGGTTATCCTGAGCTGCACGCGGCTGCTCTGGCTGCCAACACCAAGCTGGTGTATGCGCTGAGGGCCTTTGCTGCTGCTGGCGGGGTGGTGTATGGCGAGTGTGGTGGGCTCATGTACCTCTCCAGGAGTATAGAGGTGAGCGAGAGGAAGGGAAACTGTTGTGCCCTGTTGCCCTTCCAAGTGGGGAATGAGTTTCCTTTGACGGTGGGTGATGTATGGCGAGTGTGGGGGGGGGCATGTACCTTTCCAGGAGCATAGAAGTGAGAGAGGCTTGGAAAATTGCTTTGAGGCGCCTATATAAACATCTATGGCAAGTGCTGGAGAGGTCTAGTTTTGAGGCGCCTCAAAGCTAATTAAACATCTATGGCAAGTGCTGGAGAGTTTGATGTACCTGTGTCTTTGGTGCCCCTTTTCATGAGCTTCCTTCCTCCCTCCCTGTTCTCCCCTCCCACACTTCCCCTCTGTCGCTCGATTGCAGACCAAGGAGGGCGAGGTGCACGAGATGTGTGGGCTGCTGCCCTTCCGCACGCGTATGGTCTCTACCCTCAAGCTCGCCTACTGCACGGTGAGTTTGTCTGTCCGTGGGATTCGACCACTGCCCACTGCAAGGTGAGCTTGGGCAAGGGATGAAAGAGGGCGAGGTGCACGAGATGTGTGGGCTGCTGCCCTTCCGCACGCGCATGGTGTCTACTCTCAAGCTCGCCTACTGCACGGTGCGTTGTCTGTCTGTGAGATTTGAGCGCTACACACTGCACTGGATGAGGGGGCAGTTCGTCCACTTCAGCGAGGTCGTGCTGGACGAGACTCCCTTCTTTCCCCACCCCCCTTTGTCTTCCGGGTCCCCATCCTCTATGTATTTTCTGTGCTCCCAGGTTCGCCCCCAGCCCAACTGTGTGTTGTTCCCAGCCGAGCTGGGCGAGATAAGGGGGCAGTGTTTTCCACTTCAGCGAGGTGGTTCTGGATGACGGCTCCTTCCTTTCCCCATTCCCCCCTTTTTTCTCCCTTGCCCCACCCGCTCTTTGTCTTCTCTCTTCTCCCAGGTGCGTCCTCAGCCCAACTGCGTGCTGTTCCCTGCCGAGCTGGGCGAGATGAGGGGGCAGTTTTTCCACTTCAGTGAGGTGGTTCTGGATGACGGCTCGTTCCATGGGGACCAGCTGGAATTCGGGTAAGAATGGGTTTGGTTAGGTGCTGTACGGTATGTATGACAGTATGAGGTGAGCTGGCTTGGTACAGCGAGGTGTGCTGGTTTGGCTTTAAAGCAGCAGTATACATTTGACAGTGGGGTTCAGGGTTTCACAATCTGCCTCACGATTTCGGCCCCACCGTGTACCATTTATAAACTTCTGGCACTCGCCCTGCCAAATGTATACTGCTGCTTTAAGGGCATTTGTTCCACTTCAGTGAGGTCATGCTGGATGACGGCTCATTCCACGGCGACCAGCTGGAATTCGGGTGAGAAAGGGTTTGGTTTGGTGCTGTACGGTATGTATGAGTTGAGATGGTTTGGGTGCAGCATGGAGGAGGGTGTGCTGGATGACGTCTCATTCCACAGCCACCAGCTGGAGTTCGGGTGAGAGGAGTATTTGAGGTGGTGTCACAGGCGTGGCATGGCACGACTTGAGGACTCCACCCCTCTTCGTGACCCCCTTCCCCATGCCCTCCTTGCACATTTGCCAGTACCTGACCGAGCAGCATACCCCCCTGGCTGTTTTTTGAGAATTCTAAAAAACCACCCCTTTTCGCGACCCCCTTCCCCATGCCCTCCTTGCACATTTGCCAGTACCTGACCGAGCAGCATACCCCCCTGGCTCCTTCGAAGCATACCCTCGCCCCCCCCATCGCTGCTCTCTCCCTCCCCCTCTCCCCTCCCCAGCTACCTGATTGAGCAGCAGACTCCCGGCTCTACTGCTCGGCCAGAGGGCTACATGGCGGGGGCAGTGCTCGCGTCCTACGTGCATCTGCACTTCGCCTCCAACCCATCCATCCCTACCCCTGCCCGCCTTTCCCCTCCCAGGTACCTTATCGAGCAGCAAACTCCAGGCGCCACCTCCCGTCCAGAGGGCTACATGGTGGGGGCAGTACTGGCATCCTACGTGCATCTGCACTTCGCCTCCAACCCCTCCCTCGCATCCCCTCCCCCCGTCCTGCCTGCCCTCCCCCTCCCTTCCCAGGTACCTGATCGAGCAGCAGACTCCGGGCTCTACTGCTCGGCCAGAGGGCCACACCTTTCCTTACAACTCCCTATAACTCCCTACAACCCCTCCCCAGGTACCTGATCGAGCAGCAGACCCCCGGCGCCACCGCTCGCCCAGAGGGCTACATGGCGGGGGCAGTGCTAGCGTCCTACGTGCATCTGCACTTCGCCTCCAACCCCTCCCTCGCCCACGCCTTCATAGACGCATGCCGCACCGACCCTACCAAATCCGCAGCCGTCGCAGCAGCCTCTGCCTCAGCTGTGGCTGGAGCAGGGGCGGCAGCCGCGGCAGCAGCAGGGGCGGCGGCTGCTGCGGCGGTGGCAGATGCATTGAATGAGGACGATAGGTTGTCGCAGCGATCGGTCTCGTATAATATGTACGCGTCCCCGGTTCACCCGAGTCAGCTGGGCTTGCAACAGCAGCAGCAGCAGCAGCACGGGGTTCCCGGAGGGTGTGCACCGTCTTCTGTGTCTTCCGTTCAGTCGGGGAGTTCGTTTCGGAGGAGGAGTGAGAGCGGAGGGAGGTGGGATGCAAGGGGGTTTGATGCTGGTGGCGGGGTGTCGCCTCCTCATTATCTGGAGACGTATGGGAGGGGAGGAGGGGGAGGAGGGGGCGCAAGGGGGGGGATTGGTGGGCCAGGTGGATATTATTATGGTGGGGGGGTTTCGCCGCCTCATTATATGGAATCATATGGGCGAGGAAGAGGGGGAGGGGGAGGAGCGGGAGGAGGGGGAGGAGGGGGAGAGGCAGGGGCAGGATATGGTGGTATTGGAGGGAGAGTTTATGATCCCAGGGGGCAGTGGCATGAGGATATTATCCCCAGAGCTCATTCAGGTAGTGTTCCTGGTTCTTCAGGTGTTTATTCAGGTGCCCCATCGGGCATTTCGCCTGAGCACGACGACCCCACCGAAGCTGACCTCCAGGCTCGGCGGATGGGCTCTCGCGAGGCAGAGGACCGGTCCTCACGTTCGGAATCGTATGTGATCGGAGACCGCGTGGGCGGCAGAGTTGTCCCATATGCCATGTTTCCGGGCGGCAGCGCCATTGGCAGCGCTGTGGCAAGAGCATACGGCGGACAATCAAATCACACAGGATATGGATACGGGGCGGGCACGGGCGGCGGAAGTGGGGGGAGAACGGGTAACGGAGGAGGAGGGGGGCGGGGCGGCGTTGACTGGGCTCGATACGAGCTCTCCCCACCCCTCCCTTACCAATCAACAGGATACAGCAGGGAAGGGAATGGCAGTCAAGGGGTGGGAGGGCCGGGGTTCATCCCCTCTCCCATGCGAAGGTCTATATCTGAGCTATGGATGCCTGGGGGTGGGGGTGGTGGGCTGGATGAGTTGAGCCTGGGCGGAGGGCAAGGGGTGCCTGGGCGAGGGGGAAGAGGAGGGGGAGGGAGGGGGGAGGAGGGGGAGGCGGAGGAGGGGGAGGCGGAGTGAGAGGAGGAGGAGCGAGAGGGGGAGGAGGAGGAGTGGGAGAAGGGGGAGTGGGTGGGTATGGGGGAGCTGGAAGGAGAGATGGGGGGACTAGGGGGAAAGTCTTGGGAGGGGGAGGGACGGGGGCAGGAGGGGCAGGAGGAGCAGGAGGAGAGGGAGGAGGGGAGGGAGGAGGGGAGGGAGTGGGAGGAAGGAGAGGTGGAGGAGGAGGGTCTAGTAACAGAGGTGGTGGGGGTGGTTCAGCGGCGGGGAGATCAGGAAGCGGAGGTGGTAGTTCATCCTCAGATCCCTCTGCACACCTCTCCACCGCTACTAATCCCTCTTCAGCAGTTGCTTCTGGGACAGACGGCAGGAGCTATGCAGATTCCGGTTCGGCTTCGGATTATGATGAGATGAATGCGAGTGACTTGCGGAGCTCTTCTGAGTTCGATGAGGGGTTGACGTCTAGCGGCCGGCTGTCGGACTTTGTGGGGAGCAACAGTGGGAGGAGCATGGAGCAGATTTATGAGACGGGGGGAGGGGTTGGAGGAGGGGTGAAGGGGCCTTCAAGTGGGAAATTGGCGGATTTTGTGAGTGCAGGTGTAGGGGTTTTGGGAGAAGGAGGTGGAGGAGGAGGGGGAGGAGGAGGAGGAGGAGGAGGAGGGGGAGGAGGTGGAGGAGGAGGCAGGGGAGGAGGGTCAGCTGGTGGATCTCTTAAGAATTTATCGGCTGGATCGATGAGGAAGCTCGCTGCTGCTGCTGCTGGGGCTGCTGCTCAGGCAGAGGGGACTGGGCATGCCAAAAGTGGAAGTGTTGCCAAAAATGGAAATGGCGCCCATGGTGGGAGTGGAAGCTGGAGCGGTTCGGGCCGTGTGGCGTGGGTGGGAGAGAAGAGTGGGGAGGGAGAGAAGGGAGAGGAGAGAGGGAAGATGGAGAATGGGGGGTGGCGGGACGCGGCGGGGCGTGGTTCGAGGTATTTTGAAGCAAGAGACACAGTTGAGGGGTTTCAAGAGGTAGGGGCGGAGGAGAGAAGGGAGGTGAGTTGGGAGGAAGAAGAGGAGGAAGAAGAGGAGGAGGATGAGGTGGGGAGCGGGCAGGAGCAAGAGAGAGAAGCGCCTAGAACAATGCGTCTGGACCCTCGTTTGGTTGAGGAAGTGAGGGAGAGAGAGATGGAGAGGCAGAGGGAGAGGCAGAGACAGGAGGAAACGGTGGGGAACGAGCAGAAGGGGCAGAATGGGCAGCAGCAGCAGGTGCAACAGCTAGGAGAGGATGGGCAGACAGGGAGGTATACCCATGAGGATCAAATGCAGCAGCGGCAGCAGCAAAAGCATCTGCAGAAGCAGCAGCAGCAAGAGCAGCAGCATGCTCGGAAGCACTCGGATGTAAACGAAGCTTCTGGTGCGGCAGATGGGAAGGGCACTAGGAGTGGCAGCTTTGGCCGAAGCAGTGGCAATAGTGACGGGTTCCGTTCCCTGCCCACCCAGCTGTACCGCACTCTGCTCCGTGACACCCATCTGCACCACTCTCATCTCCATGACGCCCAGGTCCAGAGGAGCCTCACTGGGGCCTCAGCATCTGAGCGTTCTGGTGGTGGTGCTGCTGCTGCTGGTAGTGCTGCTGCTGGTAGTGCTGCTGCTAGTGCTGCTGGTTCTGTTACTAGTGCTGGTGGTGCTGGTGGTGGTGGTGCTGCTGCTGGTAGTGCTGCTGCTGGTAGTGCTGCTGCTAATGCTGCTGGTTCTGTTACTAGTGCTGGTGGTGCTGGTGGTGGTGGTGCTTCTGGTGGTGCAGCTGGTGGCAGCATAACAGTAAGCAGAAGCGCGAGTGGGAGGCTGTATACTGAGAATGAGGTGTCTTATAAAACATCACAGAAGCTTTATATCGAGGATGAGGTTTCCAGTCAATCACGAGCGGGGAGGATAGCAGGAGGGGCAGCAGGAGCAGGGGAAGGAGCCAGGGCAGAGGCGGTGGCACAGGCAGTGGTAGGAGCAGGAGCAGAAGGAGGAGCAGGAGCAGCAGGGGGAATGGGGGAAGGGGCAGTGGGGAGAGGGGGAATGAGGTCTGCTGATGGCACACCAACGAAGACTGCTAGTGCGCCTCTCCTTACAGGCCTGCCCGTTACAAGCACTCCTGATTCTGCTGCTGGTGCTTCTGCTGCTGCTAGTGGTGGTGGTAGCAGGAGCGGAATGGGAGGGGCGGGAGGGAGTGGAGGGGCGGCTTTGTCAGCACATGGGAGTTATGGGCACATGTCTGGGCTTGCCACGCAGGCTGCAAATGCTGCCCATGCCACTCACGCCACCCATGCCACACACCCTGGGCATTCTTCCCTGTCTGCTCACACCCCATCCCATCCTCACTCCTCCATGCATCCTCCTCAGCACCCCCAGCATCCTCACTCCTCTCACTATCCGCCCCAGCACCCCCCTTTCCATCATTCTCAGCATCAGCAGCAGCTGAATCACTTCGATCATCATGACCACAATAATCAGCAACAGCAGCAGCAGTACCAGCAGCAGCAACATTATCCTCTGTACTCTCAACCCATCCCTCCTCTCAGCACCCCCTTCCCTGGCCCTCCCCTCTCAGCAGCTGTTACAGGGACTCACCCCACCCCTCTTCCTAATTCTTCAAATCTACCCCAGTTCAACACTCCTCCCGAACCTGCTTCCAAGGCAGCAGCCGAAGCTGCAGCCGAAGCTGCTTGTCGGGCTGCTCAAGCTTTTCAGGCTGCCCGTTTGGGACCAGAAGCAGAGCCTGAGAGTGACGCTTTCTTTGATTCCTGCCCGAACTTTGAATCCCCAAAACTGAAATTCCACACTCCCCCATCTGACGTGAATGCGCCTCTCCTCAATTCAGACTCCCTCACTCTCTCAGACCCTCACACTCTTCCCACTCCCCCCACGCACTCTCATTCCCACACCCCCCCTGCCCCCCACACCCACTCTGGCATGAATTCCTTCTCAGAATCTCACAGCCTCTCCCACTTCCACACTCACTCTGACCCTCACACGTCCTATCCCCACGCCCACCCTCACATTTTCTCAGACCCCCACACTCACTTCTCCCCTTCTAAAGATTTTTCCTTTGGCACTAGGAGGCGTTTGGAACTGGGTCAAGGGAACGATGGGGGGGGATGGGGAGAAGGATTTGGGGTTGGGGAGAGCGGGGGGAGGATAGGGGGTGGGGGGCTGCAAGGGGAGCCGCAGCAGGCAGAGCAGCAGTGGCAGAGGCTGGGAGAAGGGCAGGTGCAGGTGCAGGTGCAGGGGCAGGGGCAGGGGCAGGGGAAGAAGGAGCAGGATCAGGGGCAATGGCAGCAGCAGCAGTCGCAGCAGCAGCCGCAGCAGCAACTGCAGCAACAGCAACTGCGGCAACAGCAGGAGCAGAAGCAGGAAACGGGGCAAGGGGACAAAGTAGGGAGCTTGATAACTGCAGGACAGACCAGTCTGGCTGTGGCAGATACGGTGGAGGGTTGGATGCGGTGTAAGGGGGTGGAGACAGGTGCTGGTGTGGCGGTAGGGAGTTACGGGGTGGCCGCAGCAGGGTTGAGAATGGCAGGTGGAATGTCAGGTGGAATGGGGGGTGTAATTTCAGGTGGAATGTCAGGTGGAATGGCAACAGAGGGACGGCAGGTGGGAGGGAAGAGCAGGAAGCCTCGCGTGGTGTCACTGTCACCTTCAGCAACAGATATCATCGTGGCACTCAGTAAGTGTGGAGTGGGGTGCGGTGCGGTGTGGTGGGTGTAGTGCGGTGCGGTGTGGTGTAATGCAGTTTGAACAGGAAGCCTCGTGTGGTGTCACTGTCACCTTCAGCAACAGATGCCATCGTGGCACTCAGTAAGTGGTGCGGTGCGGTGCAGTGGGGTGTGGTGTGGCGCTCAGTGACATTATCATAAATTGTCGTGCCGCACGATCTCGGCTTTGGCAGGCTGCCGTGCCCCTCCCCTCAACCGCCACAACCCTTTCCTCATTTGCTCCCTTGAAGTTTTGAGACGTCTCTAAACTTGGCAGACTGCTCTGCCCCTCAACCGCCACAACCCTCCCTCATTCGCTCCCTTCACCCTCACCCCAATCTTACCCTGCTTTTGAGTCGACTGAAGTTTTTTTATAACTTGAGAATCACATCCCCTTCTGTTGCTGCTTTTCAGGAGCAACGGACCAGTTGATTGGCTTGTCGGATCAGTGCCGCCCATCCAGCTCCCTGCCACACCCATGCCACGTGGTATGCTGACATCAGCCTGGTTTATGGCCATGTCACGTGTCATCATCCCATACTGCCATGCCATATGTCATCTTCCCAGCCTGTCATCTTAACGTATGGCCATGCCTCGTGTCATCATCCCATACTGCCATGCCATGTGTCATCATCCCATACTGCCATGCCATGTGTCATCATCCCATACTGCCATGCCATGTGTCATCATCCCATACTGCCATGCCATGTGTCATCATCCCATACTGCCATGCCATGTGTCATCATCCCATACTGCCATGCCATGTGTCATCATCCCATACTGCCATGCCATGTGTCATCATCCCATACTGCCATGCCATGTGTCATCATCCCATACTGCCATGCCATGTGTCATCATCCCATACTGCCATGCCATGTGTCATCATCCCATACTGCCATGCCACGTGTCATCATCCCATACTGCCATGCCACGTGTCATCATCCCATACTGCCATGCCATGTGCCATCTTCCCATCCTGCCATGCCATATGTCATCATCATCCCGTACAGCTATGCCATGTATACACAGGCTGTGCCATGCTTTTGTTGACATTCGTTTTGTGATGTCATGATGCACATTCTGATGTGTTCCGTCTCTGTATGAGTCGCCCGTTTTCTAGCTGACTCAAGAATGAGTTACCTCAGAACATAATATTGTATTCCGCTTCCTTCTGTCCCTCTCCTTGTTGCAATCAGGTGCTTCGTTGCCCTGCTGCCAGCAAGCCGTCTTCTAAGGTGAGTTCTGCTCCCCTTCCATGCATTGTTGAGTTGACTCAGAAACCTGCTGTTTCCCTTCTCCCAATCGTATAGTTCCTACCAGCTGCTTTGCTGCCCTGCAGTCAGCTAGCTGTGTTGTGTTCCAAAGTGATCTTTCCACCCTTTGCATGCTCCTTGTGTGTGTGACCGTTTCAACTTGTGGGATCTCCTGTCTCTACTAGGCAATAGGGTGTTATCTCCCAGTGTAATGAGTTGTGTTTTGAGTCGACTCAAAACATGACCGTTTCAACTTGTGGGATCTTCTGTTTCTACTAGGCATTAAGGTGTTATCTCCCAGGGTAATGAGCCCTGTTTTGAGTCGACTCAAAACATGACCGTTTCAACTTGTGGGATCCTCTGTGTCTACAAGGCAATAAGGTGTTATCTCCCACCCTCCCTCCCACCCTCCCTCCCACCCTCCCTTCCTCCCTCCCTTCCTCCCTTCCGCCCTCCCTCCTCCCTCCCTCTCTCCCTCCTTTTCCCGTTCCTAGGTTCAAGCCTCCCCTTGTGTGCTGGATTCGGAGTGGTTGAGAGCGGTGCAGCCAGATGTGGTGCTTTTAGGGGGCTCCACTGCCTGCCTGCGCTGCGACCTGCACTGGCAAGATGGAAACACACAGCCCACCGCTGTTGCTGCTGCAGCTAATTCTGCTGATTCTGCTACTGCTGCTGGGGTTTCTGATGCTTCTGGTACTGCTGCTGCTAGTGCTGCTGCTGCTGCTGGTGCTGCTGGTTCTGGAGGGTCAGCACAAGGCCCAACAGCAGGAGGAGGACTAAAGGGATCAGGAGTGGCAGAAAAGGGAAGCCATTGTGACAGCCGTACCTTAGCTGCAGAGGTTCGGAGGAGCCTCGGTGAATCAAGCTCGGGAGAAGGAGGCGGTGCATCAATTGTTTCTCTCCGACCCGCCACAGTGAGTTCCCAACTCGTAGGCCAACTTGATAATATAATGTGAGACTTTTGGGACAACTCTTGAAAATCCAGGCTTGGGAGAAGGCGGCGCATCAATCGTTTCTCTATGTGCTGCCACAGTGAGTTCCCAACTCGTAGGGCAAGTGGTCAATATAATGTGAGGCTTTTGGAACAACGCCTGAGAACTCAGGCTCGGGAGAAGGCGGCGCATCAATCGTTTCTCTCCCTCCTGCCACAGTGAGTTCCCAATCGTAGGGCAACTTGGTTGGTTGGTGATACGGTTGAGTTTTTCCAAGTCAGATTGGCAACTTCATTCCAATATCACTCGGAGGAGAGACCTTGGGGATTGCTTTTCTCCGTAGCAGCCCTTCGTCCTGCCACAGTGAGTTCCAAACTCATAGGGCAATGTGGTTGGGGACACTAATGAGAATTCCCAAGTCAGCTTGGTTTTTTGATTTCAATATCACTCTGAGAGAGACCATGGATTGCTTCTCTCTGTAGTAGCTCTTCGTCCTGCCACAGTGAGCCTATTTTTGAGTCGACTAAAAAATGTTCCCAACTTGTAGGGCAGCTTGGAGACAATGTTGAGTCGACTCAAATGGTCACCGGGAGGAGGTGACACATCAGTCGTTACTCTCCGTCCTGCCACAACCCTGTGGTGACTGTGGGTGCCCCGTATACGCCTCCTCGCCTGGCCTCATCTCCCCATCCCACCAGCTCTTTCAGGTGATTGAGTCGGTGGTGGTGACTTGTGGGGGCATCTCTGGGTCTGCACCACCAGCCAGCCCAGGCCATCCCCTGTATAAACCTCTCTTTCTTCTCTTACATGCCTCTCACTCTCTTCCCACCCCACCAGCTCTCCCAGGTGCTTTAGTCAGTGGTCACTGTGGGGGCAGGGCAGCGCTGGGTCTGCACCAGCCAGCCAACGCCTCCCCCTTTATAACCCTCTCTCCCGGTTCCCCCAACTGCCACTCCTCTCCTCCCACCCCACCAGCTCCCCCAGGTGCTTGAATCAGTGGTCACTGTGGGGGCAGCCCTGGGTCTGCACCAGCCAAGCACATCCCCTTTATAAGCCTCCCGCCTGTTTCCTTATTTGTCTCCCCTATCACCTGCCAGCTCGCCCAGGTGTTTGAGTCGGTGGTCACTGTGGGGGCGGCTCTGGGTCTGCACCAGCCAGCCCAGGCCCTCTCCTCCCACCTGCACCTGCGCCTGCGCTCCCTCGCTGCTGCCCTCGCCACCGCCCCCCGGCCCCGCGTCACCTCCCTAGAATCCATCTCCCCCCTCGTTATGGCCGGGCATTGGCTGCCCGAGATGAAAGTTTTGGCCGGGGCAGATGATGGTGGGTTGCAGGAGCCGGGCAGCCCAGTGAGGAAGGTTTTGTGGGAGAGCATCACGGCGTTTGGGCCGCAGGTGCTGTTTCTGACGCCGTGTGCTGCTGATGTGAAGACTGCTTTGGCCCAGGTGAGGTTGAAATTGGTGAGGGCGATGGGTAGGGACGAGTGGTGAGGGGTGTGGGGTGTGGGGTGAGGGGTGCATGGGTATAAAGTTCGGGTAGTTGACTCAAAGTTGTGGCGGAAACTTCCCTCTCGCCTTTGTGAGGTTCTTCATTCGCATGCCTGTCCCTGCCGTCACCCCCTTATTTCCTCTTCTTTTCACAGGTTGAGGCGCTTGCTCGCCTGCCCGGCTTTTGGTCGCTGCCCGCAACCGAATCCGGGCAGGTTTACATTATCGAGTCGTGTCTCTTCCTCAACGCAGGCCCGCGATTGGTCGATGGTGTTGAGTTGCTAGCTAGGATTATTCATCCTGACCGAGTAGCGGTGCCCTTGCCGCCCGGATGTTTCGTATTGAAGCTGGAACTGAGTAGAGAGAAACACTACCGAGCAGGGGACGTTCATAAACATTTTAGGCCATTGTTGTAGATTTAGGTAGGCTTGTTGTGTGGTCAGCACTGCACCAGGGTGACTGGCGAAGCATCTACTACTGTATGAGATTCTAGCAATGAGTGCGCACCGAGAGAGTACAAGGCTTGCCACATCTGATCTCACACCACCATGGCAGCAGTTGCTCCCACCCCTGCCCTCAATTCCGAGCCTGCAGCTAGAGACAATGGGTAACCTGAACCTGCTTCCGAGCCTGTCCTCAAACCTGCCACGCTGGTGTGGCAATGCCGGAGGGCCCACGGATGAAAGAGGGTTTGCGCGGTAGTGGGACGTTGCTTGCTTGGGGTTCCTCTGCAGCAGGCTCAACACGAGCCGCTCTGCTTCCTCCAACACTCCCGCCCACTCCTCGCCTCTGAAATCGACTACACCTCAATGAACGCGTCTTTTTACGTTGGGCCCCAGAAAGGCGGTGCGCCTCACAGCAAAATGTAAAGGATCACGCTCACATAGACCAAGCTTCGGCTTCCAACGCGTACTCGCCTTGGAGGACATCAGGAGCCATGTAGAATGGAGATCCCGCTACTGTCGCTGCTAGTGCTGATTCTAAAATGGATCAGTAGCCCAAGTAGTCCGATGACTGTTCTTTGTTTTTTAGCCTACAATTCTTGCCTTCTTTTGTTTTTTATCCTGGAGGAGCCATATTATAATTACAAACAGATATAAATGTGGTATGTTAAAGCAAGGGTGCACTTCGGGGGGGGTGGAGGCAAAGGTTTATCACTTGCCTCCACCTGGTTACCGGGTTTGTGGTTGGGCGTTGGAGGCGACAATTTTTTGCGCCAACCCCTGCGGAGATTGACGAGGTGTTCCCCCTGTTAGTGCTGCGCGAAGAAAGCAGGGTTGGGAACTTGGAGGGACCGCACTGGAGTTTGTGTACCAACTCCCTGCACATTTGCAGTTGTTGGAAACGCGGGGCGAATTTTACAGTTTTCGTTACTGTCGTCTTGAGTGTAAATTTTGAGCTTGCGACTAGAGCGACGGGGCGCTGGCGGCTAAGAGCGATCCTGGGGTTTGCCAAGCTGGATCAGCCCCTTGTGAGTGTTGTTTTGTTTTCTCTTGGGTTTGATACCGGTACTCAGGATTTGGAGTGTTCTGGTTTTGTTACTTCGAATTAAATTTAGGTTCTCGTGGAATTGCCCTTGTCCTTTCGATTTCCGTTTGTTACTTCCGTCTCGGCGTTTTCGTTTCTCTGCCCACGTTGTTACACACAATGTGTGTTTTGTCGTTACCTCTGGTGTGCTGTGCTCCCTCCACGCCCTCCCCTCACCTCCTGTCCTCGAAATGCTTCAATCCAACTGCTCTATCCTCCCGTACCCCTCTCCTCTAGTAACTACTACTCACGCTACTAGGCGCCAGGTAGGTATTTTCGAGATTGCATTTCAATCTTAGCAGCCTCGCCATCTGCGCCTTCAGATCCGCCATTGCGTCCGCCGCTCTTGTCAGGAAATAGTATCTATAAACCTAATTCGTACTCTTAGCCCCTGTGAAATACGTTCTTAAACTCTCTAACCACTACTCTCGCTACTAGGCAACAGGTAGGAACTCGCTAGTTTTAAACGTTCAATGATTATCAATTCTAAAAACCGCTACAGCAGGCCCCCGCGGCGGGATGGCGCGCAGAATCTGTGGCGGAATGGCGCGCAGCATCTGCAGCGGAATGGCGCGCTGAATCTGAGGCTGGCGCGCAGAATCGGTGGCGGAATGGCGCGCAGCATCTGCAGCGGAATGGCGCGCTGAATCTGAGGCTGGCGCGCAGAATCGGTGGCGGAATGGCGCGCAGCATCTGCAGCGGAATGGCGCGCTGAATCTGAGGCTGGCGCGCAGAATCGGTGGCGGAATGGCGCGCAGCATCTGCAGCGGAATGTCGCGCAGCATCTGCAGCGGAATGTCGCGCAGCATCTGTGGCGGAATGGCGCGCAGCAGGCCGCCGCGCGCGCTGCTGCTGACGAGTCTCGCATGGTAAGCACCAGTGCAAATGTGTCTTCGTTTCCCTCCCCTTTTCGTCACTCGTCCTTCGATGTCGTAAGCTTCAGCGAGAATAAGCAGAAATTCTCCGTCCTAAAGTACTCTCGCAGCTCTAGGATCAAAGCTGGCCAGTTGCTGGCTCGTATACGCGGCGCTCTCTTGACGGCTAACGCATCGCCAAGGAATCTGCCACGGATGGTCAGGATCCACCAAGTACGTATTCTGATGTTCGCGGATCCACGGATACTCTCGCAATTACATGCTCGTTCTGCCCTTGTCTCTCTCACAGGCCATTCTGATGGCGCGAGCGCAAGGCTATGGTTTCCCCGCGGAGGGCGATGAGGCGGTGTGGTGGGTGAGGAGCGCGGCCTTGTCTCCCTGCGCCCGACGTCACGTACCTCCGCCCGCGCGCCAGCATGGATCAACGCCACGCGCTGCTCACCTCACTGCCCGGACCAATGTGAGTGCGCCAAGGACGGAGGGAGGGAGCAAGTGAGCGAACGAGTGAGCAGTAAGCAGCAATGTATTTCTCTTGTTTTTATTATTGGTTCTTATTAGCTGCCGCGTCGAACGGCGCATTTCGCGGCAGCTGCGACGGAACGGCGCACAGCAGCAGGCGGACGGTGCATCATCCAATTTGTTTTTGTTTTTGTTTGTTTATTTCTTTCACTGTTTTCGACCTGAAAATCCGTTTTTGTTTTCTTTCACACACTCGTCATCATCCGTTTCCATGTTTTCTGATTTATATTTGTGTCCTTTAACTGTTTGCTCCCTGGGCTAGTGGCGCTCCGATCTGCACGGGGACGGGCGCGCGGGCAGCAACACGCGACTGGGGGTCCATCCGCCCACCCACCACCAGCACGTGGTGAGCCGAACAGAATGATGCAACGTGGAAGAAATGGGAAGGAAGATGAGCAACGAAAGGAAAGGCAAGGCAAATCACTCTCTCACCTGTCAGCTCACTCACCCACCTTTGAGAAAAAACCCGAAACCCGCCCGTGAGCTCAGCTCACCCCCCTGTGGGCTCAGCTCACCCCCCCCTTGTGAGGTCAGCACTCACCCCATCATTCCCACCTGACCCAGCACTCACCCCATCATTCCCACCTGACCCAGCACTCACCCCATCATTCCCACCTGACCCAGCACTCACCCCATCATTCCCATCTGACCCAGCACTCACCCCATCATTCCCACCTGACCCAGCACTCACCCCATCATCCCCACCTGACCCAGCACTCACCCCATCATTCCCACCTGACCCAGCACTCACCCCATCATTCCCACCTGACCCAGCACTCACCCCACCTGACACACACACACACACATACACCCACTGATGCTATCACACACACACACACTGATGTTATCACACACACTCACGATGTTATCACACACACTCACTGATGTTATCACACACACACTGATGTTATCACACACACTCACTGATGTTATCACACTCATTCACTGATGTTATCACACACACTCACTGATGTTATCACACACACACACTGATGTTATCACACACACTCACTGATGTTATCACACACATTCACGATGTTATCACACACATTCACTGATGTTATCACACACACTCACGATGTTATCACACACACTCACTGATGTTATCACATACACTCACTGATGTTATCACACACACTCACGATGTTATCACACACACTCAGTGATCTTATCACACACACTCAGTGATGTTATCACACACACTCAGTGATGTTATCACACACACTCAGTGATGTTATCACACACTCAATGACCTTATCACACACACAAGCTGGGATGCATCCCCTGTTCCCCCCATTTCACCCCTCTAATTTGCCCATCGTCCCTCTCCCAACCCTCTCCCCCCTCTCCCTGAAACCGCGTGATTCTGAGATTCTGAAATTCCTTAGAAGCTGGAATTGGGGAATTATGAAATTGTGAAATGACGGATTTCTGAGATTCTGATGTTCTGAGAATCTTGAATTCTGAGATTCTGAAATCTTGTACCCCCCCTCTGAAACGTGTCGTTATGTGAAACCTCGTCCCCCTCCCTGGGCTTGCAGTGCAGATCTGCCCCAACGCGTGTCACTGCTGCCCGAGAGCAGGAAGCCTCCTGCATCGCCACCTGCCCGAGAGCATGAAGCTTCCTGCATCGCCACCTCCCCTGCTGCCTGCGTGGATTGAACGCGTTGAAATGAATCAGAGGAGGATAGCGTAGGTAGGTAATGGATTGTAACCGTGCATTTGTTTAGCTTTGCATGCATAGGTTTGCTAGATTGTGTGCCTCTGGTGGGCTCGGGCGAATCCAGCTCAAAGCAGCCCACAGCAGCCCAAGCCAGGGCCGCAAACCAGCCCCATCCAGCCCAAACCAGCCCCACCCAGCTCGAACCAGCCCCAAACCAGGCCAAGCCAGCGTCACCCAACCGCACTCAACTGCTCTCAACCGCACTCAATCGCACCCAATCTCATCCAGCCCCACCTGGGCAAATTCAGCCCCACCTAGCACAGACCAGCCCAAGCCAATGTCCCCGAACCGCACTCAACCGCACTCAACCACACCTGACTGCACTCAACCGCACTCAATCGCTTCCAACCTCATTCAGCCCCGCCCAGCCCAATTCAGCCCCACCCAGTCCAAAGCAGCCCCAAACCAGTCCAAGCCGGTGTCACCCAACCGCACCAGACTGCACTCAACCGCACCCAACCTCATCCAGCCCCATCCAACCCCACACATCCTACCCCCCAGTCCCCCCTCCCCCACCCCCCCCCCCCCCCCCCCCCCCTCCCCCCCTTTCCAGCAGCTGCGCGGCTCTGCGGCGCCCCTCTGGGGCAAGGCGGCAGCTACCTACATTGGTGTGACTACTACCTACATTGGTGTGACTACTACCTACTAGTCACACCTACCTACTAGTCACGCGGTGAGTCCTAAACGACCGTAGCCACCGACACGTAGATTGAATTTGAAACATAAGGTAGCGATTCGAATATCTGCTTGAAAATGGAAAAAAATAAGGGAATCCCCGCTTCCTGGAATTCTGTTGTTCTTCCCCCGTCCTGAAACCCTGTTTTTCCCCACCGAAAATGTGACCCTCCCCCCCCTCCCCTCCCCCACCTTATGGGGGGGGAAAGGGGGGGGGGACTTGGGGGACTTGGGGGGACGGGGGGGGCGGGAGATTCCATTCTTCCTGCCCTTCTCCCTTTCCCCCCTCCCCCCCCCCCCTCCTCCCCCCTTATTGGGGGGGAAAGGGGGGGGGGACTTGGGGGGGCGGGGGATTCTATTCTTCCTGCCCTTCTCCCTTTCCCACCCTCCCTCCCTCCTCCCCCCTTATTGGGGGGGAAAGGGGGGGGGACTTGGGGGACTTGGGGGGACGGGGGGGGGTGGGCGATTCCATTCTTCACCCACTCCTGCCCTTCCCTCCCTTTCCCCCTTTCCCCCTCTGTCCGATCCCCTTCACACACACCCCATTCCGTTCCTGCTTTTCAGGAGCAACGGATCAGCTGATTGGCTTGTCGGATCAGTGCCGCCCATCCAGCTCCCTGCCACCAAGGCGTCTCCTAAGGTGAGCTTAGCTCCTGTTGCATTCTAGTCCACTAGAATAACCTGCTGTTTCGCTTAGTATCCCAAGGGTATAGTTGCAATCAGGTGCTTCGCTGCCCTGCTGCCACCAAGGGGACCCCCAAGGTGTGATTGCATGTTTTCCTTTCCATGCTTGTTCTAGTTGACTTGAACCCATGTCGCTTCCCTTCCTTATCCCAAGTGGATAGTTGCAATCGGTGCTTCGCTGCCCTGCTGCTGTTAGCAAGGCTTCGTCCCAAATGGTTTTCTTCTCTTTGCATCTCTTTGCATGCTCCTTGTGTGATGCTTTCGATTTGTGGTTTTCTCTTTTCTCAAAAGGCGCTCAGGTGCCATTTCTCTCTCCCTCCATCCCGTTCTCCCTATCTACCTCCCTCCCTCCCTCCGTTCCTTCAATACCCGTTCTAAGGCCCAAGCACCCTCCTGTGTGCTGGATTCGGAGTGGTTGAGAGCGGTGCAGCCAGATGTGGTGCTCTTGGGGGGCTCCACTGACTGCCTGCGTTGCGACCTGCACTGGCAGGATGGAAACACACAGCCCACCGCTGCTGCTGCTTCTGCTACTGCTGCTGCAGCTGCTGATTCTGCTAGCGATTCTGCTAGTGATTCTGCTAGTGCTGCTGGTGTTTCTGGTGCTGCTGCGGCTGCTAGGGCTGCTCGTGGTGGTGCTGGTGCTGCTGCTGCTGCTGCTGCTGGAGTATCAGGAGTGACAGAAAAGGGAAGGCATTGTGACAGCCGTACCTTGGCTGCAGAGGTTCGGACGAGCCTCGGTGAATCAGGCTCGGGAGAAGGCGGCGGTGCATCAATCGTTTCTCTCCAACCCGCCACAGTGAGTTCCCAACTCGTAGGCCAACTTGATAATATAATGTGAGACTTTTGGGACAACTCTTGAAAATCCAGGCTTGGGAGAAGGCGGCGCATCAATCGTTTCTCTATGTGCTGCCACAGTGAGTTCCCAACTCGTAGGGCAAGTGGTCAATATAATGTGAGGCTTTTGGAACAACGCCTGAGAACTCAGGCTTGGGAGAAGGCGGCGCATCAATCGTTTCTCTATGTGCTGCCACAGTGAGTTCCCAACTCGTAGGGCAAGTGGTCAATATAATGTGAGGCTTTTGGAACAACGCCTGAGAACTCAGGCTCGGGAGAAGGCGGCGCATCAATCGTTTCTCTCCCTCCTGCCACAGTGAGTTCCCAATCGTAGGGCAACTTGGTTGGTTGGTGATACGGTTGAGTTTTTCCAAGTCAGATTGGCAACTTCATTCCAATATCACTCGGAGGAGAGACCTTAGATTGCTTTTCTCCGTAGCATCACTCGGACAGACCTTAGATCGCTTCTCTCTGAGTGGCTCTTCGTCCTGCCACAGTGAGTTCCCAACTCGTAGGGCAACTTGGAGTGGAGAGACTTTTGAGTCGACTCAAATGGTCACCGGGAGGAGGTGACACATCAGTCGTTACTCTCCGTCCTGCCACAACCCTGTGGTGACTGTGGGTGCCCCGTATCTGCCTCTCCCCCTGGCCTCATCTCCCCATCCCACCAGCTCTTCCAGGTGATTGAGTCGGTGGTGGTGACTTGTGGGGGCATCTCTGGGTCTGCACCACCAGCCAGCCCAGGCCATCCCCTGTATAAACCTCTCTTTCTTCTCTTACATGCCTCTCACTCTCTCCCCACCCCACCAGCTCTCCCAGGTGCTTTAGTCAGTGGTCACTGTGGGGGCAGGACAGCGCTGGGTCTGCACCAGCCAGCCAACGCCTCCCCCTTTATAACCCTCTCTCCCGGTTCCCCCAACTGCCACTCCTCTCCTCCCACCCCACCAGCTCCCCCAGGTGCTTGAATCAGTGGTCACTGTGGGGGCAGCCCTGGGTCTGCACCAGCCAAGCACATCCCCTTTATAAGCCTCCCGCCTGTTTCCTTATTTGTCTCCCCTATCACCTGCCAGCTCGCCCAGGTGTTTGAGTCGGTGGTCACTGTGGGGGCGGCTCTGGGTCTGCACCAGCCAGCCCAGGCCCTCTCCTCCCACCTCCACCTGCGCCTGCGCTCCCTCGCTGCTGCCCTCGCCACCGCCCCCCGGCCCCGCGTCACCTCCCTAGAATCCATCTCCCCCCTCGTTATGGCCGGGCATTGGCTGCCCGAGATGAAAGTTTTGGCCGGGGCAGATGATGGTGGGTTGCAGGAGCCGGGCAGCCCAGTGAGGAAGGTTTTGTGGGAGAGCATCACGGCGTTTGGGCCGCAGGTGCTGTTTCTGACACCGTGTGCTGCTGATGTGAAGACTGCTTTGGCCCAGGTGAGGTTGAAATTGGTGAGGGCGATGGGTAGGGGTGAGTGGTGAGGGGTGTGGGGTGAGGGGTGCATGGGTATAAAGTTCGGGTAGTTGACTCAAAGTTGTGGCGGAAACTTCCCTCTCGCCTTTGTGAGGTTCTTCATTCGCATGCCTGTCCCTGCCGTCACCCCCTTATTTCCTCTTCTTTTCACAGGTTGAGGCGCTTGCTCGCCTGCCCGGCTTTTGGTCGCTGCCCGCAACCGAATCCGGGCAGGTTTACATTATCGAGTCGTGTCTCTTCCTCAACGCAGGCCCGCGATTGGTAGATGGTGTTGAGTTGCTAGCGAGAATCATTCACCCCGACCGAGTGGCAGTGCCCTTGCCGCCCGGATGTTTCGTCTTGAAGCTGGAACTGAGTAGAGAGAAACACTACAGAGCAGGGGACGTTCATAAACATTTTAGGCCATTGTTGTAGATTTAGGTAGGCTTGTTGTGTAACGGTCTACATCACAACTACTGTACAAGGTGTTGCTAGCCACGTAGTTGTAGGTTTAGAAGTGGGGGAAAGTTGTCAGATTTATATGACTTAGCTGTTGTAGGCTATAGTGGGGTAGCACATATGGGGTACAGCTTTCTAGGGTTTGTACTTGTACCCAACTTTCCCTTAGCCTTTTCATTCCTCGTTCATTCTCACATGGTATAGAGCAGGTTCCCCTGTGGGAACTGTTCCTAGGGCCCACCAACTTTTTTTTTCCTGCCCGGAGCGCGCTCAGCCTCTGCCCGAGTCGCGCTCCCCTCTCACGGCCCCGTCGCGCCGCCCTTACGACCTCGTCGCGCCGCCTCAGCGGCCCCGTCGCGTCGCGCCTCCCTAGCGGCCCCGTCGCGTCGCCCTTGCGACCCCGTCGCGCCGCCCTCGCGGTCCCGTCGCGTCGCGCCGCCCTCGCGGCCCTTTCGCGCCGCCCTCGCGGCCCTTTCGCGCCGCCCTCGCGGCCTCCTCGAGCCGCCCTCGCGACCCCTCCACGCCGCCCTCGCGGCCCCGTCGCCTACCCTTGCGGCCCCGGCGCCACCCTTCCCGGCCCCGGCGCCGCCCTTCCCGGCCCCGGCGCCGCCCTTCCCGGCCCCGGCGCCGCCTCTGCTGGCCCCGTCGCCCCACCCTTAAGGCGCCGGTCGCCACCCTTCGTGGCCCCGCCGCCGCCCTCAGCGGCCTCGTCGCCGCCCCACCCGGCCCCGCCGCCGTCCCCACGCGGCCCCGCCGTCACCACCGAGCCGCCGGCGCCGCTGAGCCGCCGGTCTACCGAGCCGCCGCTGCTGCCGAGCCGCCCGAGCCACCCGAGCCGCCCGAGCCGCCGAGCCACCTGAGCCGCCCGAGCCGCCGAGTCGCCGAGCCGCCGAGCTCCAGTTGCTGCCGAGCCGCCGTGCCGCCGAGCCGCCCGAGCCGCCCGAGCCGCCGAGTCGCCGAGCCGCCGAGCTGCAGTTGCTGCCGAGCCGCCCGAGCCACCCTGTCCGGTAAGAGCGGCACCTCTACCACTGCGCTGCCCTTACCCTACTCCTCCAGCTGCTAGTCTACTGCTGTCATGGCTACCCCCAGTGTCCTCGCTTTTGACGCTGAGGGTCGGGCCATTGACTTTGACGTCTGGGTAGATGACCTGCAGCTTTTCCTACAGTGCGACAGGGCAGACGGTCTCTCTCTCTTTGACCTCACTTCTGGTGCCTCTTCTGCCCCTGCTGCTGATGCTGACGCCACTGTTCGCTCACAGTGGGCCACACGCGACGCTGCTGCCCGTCTTGCTGTGCGCCGCTACTTGCCTACCGCTGAGCGTGCACACTTTAGTCAGTACAAGAGTGCTAAGACCTTGTACGACGCTGTAGTTGCACGTTACTCTTCCCCTGCCACTGCTGCACTTAGCCGCCTCATCCTGCCGTACCTCTTCCCTGACCTCGCCGCTTTTCCCACAGTCGCTGACCTCATTACGCACCTGCGCACTAGTGACACTCGCTACCGCGCTGCCCTTCCTCCTGAGTTCTGCGCCAAGAACCCCCCCCCTATGTACATCACCCTCTACTACGTAGTCACCCGGCTCCCTGACACCCTTCGCCCGGTCAGGGACTACTTTCTCTCTGTTTGCCCCACCACCCTCACCGTTGACCTCCTCGAGGAGCGCCTCCTAGCAGCAGAGAAGAGCATAGTCGCTGTAGGAGCCTCTCGTGGTGACCCTCGTGCCCCTGTCTTTGAGAATTGCTCCCCCTCTCCTCTCTTGCCCTCTGTTGCCTCTGCTGCTGCGGCCGACCTCGTTGGTCTTGAGTCGGTCGGTGCGGCGTCTGCCCCTAGCGGGAGACGCCGCACTGGCAAGGGCAAGGGGGGCAGGGGCGCTGGAGGAGCTAGCGGGGGCGGTGGAGGCGGCGGTGGAGGCGGCGGAGGGGGTGGGGGTGGCGGTGGGGGTGGTGGCGGGGGTGGGGGCGTCGGTGGCGGCAGTGGAGGCGGAGGCGGCGGCGGCGGTGGCGGTGGGAGCGGAGGTGGCGGAGGTGGCGGCGGTGGAGGAGGCGGCGGCGGAGGAGGTGGAGCTGGTCGGGGTGGCGTTGCGCAGAGGGTCGGCTCCGGTGGTGGTCAGCGCCAGCAGCAGCAGCAGCGCACTCGTGAGATCCCCCCCCCTCAGCAGCTTCGTGAGTGGTACGCTGCACGCCAGCGGGGTGGGGGTACTGGTCCGTGCACCTACGTCCTACGCACCGGCGACCGCGCGGGTGAGCCGTGCGGAGGTGCGCACTCCACCCAGCGCTGCTTTGGCCGCCTGACGGACGCTTGGCGTCACCAGTTCCCTGAGGCCACTGAGATCCCTCGCTGGGGCGAGCTGTCTAGGGCGGGAGTAGCTATCTTTGACCTTGACTTTGATGCTATTCTTGCTGCCATGTATGCTGTGACTATTAGTGATGAGGGTGACTGTTACTGGTGTTTTCCGCCCGACCCGGGCATTGGGACTGCTGCTCTAGGTACTGGTGAGGCTGCTGCTCTAGGTGCTAGCGAGGCTGCTGCTCTAGGTGCCAGTGCGTCTGCTTCCTCAGGTGCTGGTGAGTCTGCTCTCTCAGGTACTTGCGTCGGCTCCGGCCTCCCACACCTTCACTCTTGACTCGGGGGCTTCTCGCTCCTTCTTTCGAGACCGCACCACACTCACGCCGCTTGGTCGGCCAGTTGCAGTCTCTCTGGCAGACCCCTCTGGGGGTCCTGTCCTTGCTCACTTCTCCACTGTCCTCCCGTGTCCGGCGGCCCCCTCTGGCACCCTGTCTGGTCTTTACCTCCCCTCGTTCTCTACGAACTTGGTGAGTGGTGCTGACCTACAGGATGCAGGGGTTCACCAGTTCACTCCTGCGAGCCAGCGTGTGACCCACTGCACGGACGCTCGGACGGGCCGACACTTGGCCACGTTTACACGTCGGCCGGGGTCGAGCCTGTACACACTGACCACTGAGTCTCCTCCAGTCACTGCGTCTGGTCAGGCAGCTGCGTCGGGTCAGGTGTTTGCTGCAGCGTTCAGGTCTGGTCCTGGGTCTGCCCCCTGCTCGTGTCGCCTCCTGTCTCACGAGACTCTCCTCTGGCACCACCGCCTTGGTCACCCCTCCCTGCCTCGTCTCCGAGGCATGGCCTCCCGTGTCCTTGTCTCTGGTCTTCCCCGCTCCCTCCCTCCCCTTCCTCCGGGGCCTGCCCCTACCTGCGTCCCCTGTGTCGAGGGGCGGCAGCGTGCTGCCCCTCACTCCTCCCAGTTTCCTCCGACAGAGGCCCCGCTGCAGACGCTTCACATGGACGTGTGGGGCCCGGCCCGCGTCCGTGGACAGGGTCACGAGCGCTACTTCCTGCTGGTGGTTGACGACTACTCGCGTTACACCACAGTCTTCCCCTTGCGCAGCAAGGGTGATGTCACTGAGGTGTTGATCGACTGGATCCGCGCAGCTCGTCTCCAGCTCAGAGAGAGTTTCGGCTCGGACTTTCCTGTTCTGCGTCTGCACTCTGACAGAGGCGGAGAGTTCTCCTCTAGCCTTCTGCGAGCCTACTGTCGTGCACGAGGCATCCGCCAGACCTTCACGCTTCCGGAATCTCCACAGCAAAATGGGATTGCTGAGCGCCGCATTGGCATGGTCATGGACGTCGCCCGTACGTCCATGATGCATGCGGCTGCCCCCCAATTTCTGTGGCCGTTTGCGGTTCGGTACGCGGCGCATCAGATCAACCTTCAGCCCAGGGTCTCCATGCCGGAGACCTCTCCAGCTTTGCTGTGGACGGGGAAGGTTGGCGATGCGTCTGCGTTCCGTGTCTGGGGATCTCGGGCGTTTGTCTGCGACTTGTCTGCGGACAAGCTGTCCCCTCGTGCTGCTCCCTGCGTCTTCCTTGGCTTCCCCCCTGACGCGCCAGGGTGGCAGTTCTACCACCACACCTCTCGCCGTGTCTTGTCCTCCCAGGACGTCACGTTTGACGAGTCGGTCCCCTACTACCGTCTCTTCCCCTACCGCACTCCGTCCCTCCCCCCGCCTCCGCTCTTCCTTGTGCCAGGTCCCCCCCCGGTAGACCCCCTTCCCCCTCAGGGTCC